ACGTGTTGTATAAATTAGCGTCTTCCTGACTCTGTTCGGCCTACTTACAGTCCGAATCGGTCTTCGTGACGTCACTGTCGGATGGCCTTCATATTTCGACGGTAACGTTGTTACCCCTATTTGTTAGATATTTCGAAGGTTTCAAGCAAAAATGATGACATTTGCAGGCATCTTTAAACGAGTTGAGTTTGAAGAAAAGAAGAGATTGGCGATTTCAATAGTTTTTTTTCACCTGCAAAACATCAGCGGTTCTGAAGCATTTTTTTATAAATAACGAAAGCCGTCTTACGAGCATTCAGTCCAAATCTACCGAGTGGAAAAAATATGTGGGCCAAATCGGGAAAACTCGCCGGCCACTTGGCCGTCTAAAACCCTCAACAACCCACTACAGCTTTTTTAACGTTGATTTCTAGCCTGAACTTCTGGCGACCTAAAACCAGGTCGACTGCTTCAGTTGTCGCACATAAAGCGGTACGAAGAAGCTACACTGAGCGTTTTTCATTTTCTTCCAGGACATTTCCATTATAAACGAGGACGAGGCATTTGTTTCAACACTGACCAGCCCGACAGCCTTCAAATCGGAACCATCCACACCATCCACCACCACCAGTCGATCCAGTTCGATTCGAAGAACGAAGAAACGGAAAATGTTTCAATTGGACGACGCCGATGACGGTGATGATGACGATGATGATTACATCCCGCCAACCTACAAGAAACGATCCTCTGCTTACCGACTGGCAGCCAACGACATGGATAACAGCGATTCTTCAGACGATTCGCTGGAGCAGCCAACAAAGCCCAGAACGCGAAGCATCTCAGTGTCGAAGACACGCGGCCGTCCGCCCAAGCGTGGTGAATCTGTGTCCAGTGACGGTTCGAAAGACCAGGACGTGTCGAAGTATCGCGAGTTAAGGGACAAGAATAATGAAGCTTCACGAAAATCGCGCCTCAAGAGGAAAGTGCAAGAGCGGGAGTATGAGAAGGAGGCTGCTGACCTGTACGCCAAGAACATCCGGCTCAAGACTCAAGTGGAGGAGTTGGAAAAAATGGTCGAATCTTTCAGAAACAATCTCTTTCAAATGCTAGTTACTAAGTAAGCAGGCTGCTCTAGAACTTAAGGTTATTAGTAGATTTTTTCCTTGAAAATCTGTTATAGGATTCAGTTGAGCCACATTTGCTTATATGGCCTCAGTTTCGCTCTCCGAAGTTTTGCTCTAAACTTCCGAGCTTTACGTTGTCGCTGACTTGTTATTAACTTCAGCATTGCTACCTTTTCGTAGCGATTATATAGTTTTAATTCACTTGTGCTTAAGTACCTGCTACACTTGTAACTGTTTTTATATCTATCTCTATATATATATATGTTTGTTTTTCTCTATCTAAAGACTTGTTCTGAAACCGACGATTGTTTGTTCCAATCGAAGACCATCCAAAGTGCTGACCAGTGACTCGAACCGAAACACTTTGCCTTGTATTAATGTAACATTTAGTTTATTATGTTTTATCTATTGTATTGTTGATTAATCAATGAGAAAATTTGGATTTTTGCCGATAAAATTATTATAACGATGACAATGTTTGTGTTGATTCATTCAAGTTCATTAATAAAGTGATTTTATTTGTATTGTGGTATCTTTATTGGTAAACCACTTTAGTGAAGTTCGAAAAATTATCATGGAAGCAAGCAAGTTTAAAATAAAACGCCTGGTTTTGCCAATCAAAAAAAAAAAAAATTGTTTGAAAGCTGTAGCTGTTCCTAAGCTATTAGTTTGAAAAATTAAAAAGTTGGGAATTTTTGTTTAAAAAAGTTGCTTGGATTTGATCAATTTTCGGCTGTTTCAAGTCGAATCGAGTCTCAGTTTCAAGGGGTAACTTAAAAAACGGTTGAAATCGCCATTTCACCCACTTGTTGAAAAAATCAGTTCAAAACCAACACGAATTTTAAACTTGCAGCTTCAAACGAGTAAAGAACTCATTTAAATGACGCGAACGAAAATGAAATTCGCCGTTTTCAGCCTCGTGTTCAAAAGCATGTGGAAAACTGGCGAAAACCTAAAGGGATTTGCAATTTTTTAAATTTAAAGCAAGCAATTTCATAAGTTAAGTTTCCTCATTGAAACTGCCAAAATGAATTTCCGATAAAATATCCGTTTTGTGAGACAATATTTTTAAATACATTTAAAATTGCCATTTTTAGCGCCATGTAAAAAAACTGGCTGAAACCAGCAGAAGCTTGAAATTTGCAGCATCAAGAGTTAATTTTTCTCAATTAAACGATGCCAAAATCAATTCCCAATCAAATTTCAGTTTTGAGAAGCACGTTTTAAAAACGTTTGTTTTAAAAAAAATAGTAGATTGGAAAGTCAAGTATTCTTATTGGTGCAAAAATAAAATCTGTTTTAAAAGGCATTAAAAAAAACGTTTGAAATTTCCATTTTTGTAACCTAATAAAATGGACAAAGCTAGCTTCAGAACATTGAAGTTTCCTCATTAAATCGAGTCCAAAATTCCCAGACGAATCTCCGTTTTTAGGGAACATCAAATCGTCATTTTTAGCTACATATGTATGATCAAAAGCACGTAAAAAATTGGAAAAAACCACCAAAAATTTAAAATTTTCAGGTTCAAAAGAGTAAAGTTTCCCCATTAAAGCGACCCCAAATAAGAAACCCAGTCGAATTTCAGCTTTGGAGGGATTTCAAATGTTTCAAATCCCCATTTTTGTAACGTAAAAAACTGGACAAAAGGAAATTTGAATTTGCAGCTGCAAAACAGTGAATATTCCGCATTTAATCGCCGCCAAAACCAAATCCCAATGTTCCAAACATTTGTTTACATTTACTTTTTAGAAATTTGATGTTCAACTCGTTTAATAATGGTCAGGATCAAAAGTTTTCGAGTCGATGGAATTTAAAATCGGATTAAAAATAACCAAGCTGCAAAGAAATTTGCATGCATTTTTCACTTTAGCTTGCTCAATGTATAGACGCAATAAATCGAGATTGGGCAACCTGCGGCATTTAGCCTTAGCGTGGCAGAGATTTGGCGGAACGGTGTCTTCTTTCTCTTTATGGAAAAAGTTGTATATCTTTTGTATTAAAATTAGCGAAAAACGTCATTCATCCAAGAAAAATTGCGCTAATTTTCTAGTTTCCCAGAGCCTGGCTTTCGAAGTTTCTTAATGGTGTTTCTTGTGCAACTGCGTTGCCATGTTAAGTCGATCTCTGCATCAGTGAAGCCATACTAGGGATTTTTCTCAGGCAAAAGGAAATTGCTACAATAATTTATATTAGTTTTTACATCGGACTTCAGAAGATTAACCAGAAGGGACGAACCACAATTGGTTTTAAGAAATCTCAATTAATTAAGAATCTTTAAGGCCTTTTTAGTTTCCCGGAAATTATCTTTACCGGGATGCTAAAATCAATACACCTGCAGTCAGTGTGATTTGCAACTGCCCCATATACATATAAACTTTGTCAAATACCTATTTAAATTAAAGCTTGAATTTAAAAGAACAAATAAGAGGAAAACAAATTGAAGCAAAACTATGAGTTCCATTTTTAAATTTCTTAATATACCGTTTCCAATAACCTTTTTTGTTTCATTATCATTTTTTATTAAACATTTTTATTTAGCTATATTTTTTTCGAAAATCGGGAAAAAACTTCCATCTGAGGATTTAAATTTTACCGATCTGGCATCACTGATCTCCATACAAAATCGGAATTCACGTTCAGTAATTGGTTACTTTGGTAGACATTCGGCAACATAGGATTGATTTTTTCCGTGCAGTCTGACTGCAAACTATGAAGGCATATTTTGTTAACTTGACGAAAATGGTGAATTTTAATAGGGGAAAACTGGTCTAAAACCGCCTTTCCGCAAAAACCATCACTAAGTTGTTAATAAAAATTTTTAAGAACATTTTTAAGGGGGCAGAAAATAACCCAACTGTCACTAAGCAATAATCAAATACCGACAAAATGAGTAAGATAAAAATATAGATTTGGCAATCGCGCGTTATATACCGAACTGCGTCGCAGTCCACAATTTGAACGTCAGACGCTTTTTGGTTTCTTATATAAAAGTGAATTTCACGTTAATTTTAAGCAAAAAGTGATCAAAATACGCATTTCTACAACAAACACCACTAAGAAAATTTGTTGGTAAGAGGATATGTATCATAAGGTGAACAAACTGTAAACTGGAAAATTACCAGAAAATCTTGAAAACGCGGCAAATTTGAGCCACTCACACTTAATTCCACATAGAGCGCTGTTCACTCACGGACCCTCTCACAGCTTCTAAACCAATAAAATGCACAATTCAATGAAATTATTCAACTTTCCAACTTCACTGGCTGTCAACAACTACACGTGGACAGTTTCTGTCTGCTTTGACAGGAACACCAACATAAAAAAACACATTTTAGTACTTTTACGTTGGTGACACTTGACTCTAGCCGCGAAATTGGAGTATTGCTTGCCTGCTACCCTACTCACACTTTTCCCTAAAACAACCGCATAAACTGCAGGATATCAAGGACATAGGAACAGTGGTGTAAAGTGGACCGTTAGAGAAACACGTCTGATATAAACTATTAAGTATATTGTCTGGAAAATCATTTGCAATATGACAGAGTTCACCGTGAAACTCTCCAAGCCGAGCGCCCAAACTGCTGGTTTTGGTTGCATATTTATACACAAAAAACTGTATTAAGGTTGAAATCGACTGGAGCAATTTCCCGATGAATTATACCGGATTGGCAAACAACTTTGCAAAACATTTGGTAAATATACTCGCAATATAAACTCTCGTATGTCTGTAAAAATCATTAGATAATAACAATTTGATTCTCCTAAGTACACGTATAAATTAGGGCCTATAAAAAATAAAACAGTGGTCCGTCACGGGAAACTTATGAAGATATATCAACAGCTAATCCGAAAGTATTATACAAGTAAATCTACCTTAAAGAATATTTACAAACATAGGCATAGTCTAAATACTGAACATAATGGAATAAGTTTTCAACGTCTACAGAATACAAATGGAATGTGGATGTAATCCAAGATAAACCAACCGCCTAAGAACCGAGTGGAAGAAAAAGACAAGAGCATTCGTAAAATTTCCTAGGAAAGTTGTCATATTGATTCCTACACTAAAACTGGATTATACAATGTAAAACTAATCGCTAAAATTACTATAGAGATCTCCTAGTTGGCGCACACATCAAAATACTGATAGAAGAACTTGAACATGAATATTCTCAGTCGACAAATACATTCTTCTATTCGCATGTGCACGCTGGTTCTAAAAATATACTAAAATATATTCCCTATTATACATTTCAAATAAGCTACGTGGAAACGTCTGGGGGCCTAAAGGCCTAAGAATGTTCTAATATTGACTAAAAACCAAGCAATTATAGTTTTTACAACAATCATGTGCGGTTAACCCTTCGTTAGATGGTTATGCCAAGTTTTTATTTGTTTATTATCTACAACTGCGATTGAACGTTTTTCGCAAATCGCAAAAACCATGTTCAACCCCTAAACTACATCCCCATTTTCAGGGATTTCGTGCTTAAATGAACGTTTTTCTTAAAGTTGGCACATCAACATTTTTCACCGTGTCCGTGATTGTGATCATTTTTTTCCAAAATTTAACCTCTGATGTTTGATTTACTCAACAGGCATCGTCTCACATCCGTTGGGACCGTCGAAATAAGCGACAAATACCGACAAGTTTCCGCAACATACCGATTCCGACTTTCCGACCGACATAACAAATATCCGATTCTGCACTTTACATCGCTTGGAAGAGACTGCCGGAAATAATTTTTATAATTTGTCGAAGGGCGACGTCGATACGTTAGATGAATTATCCGCTAGTGTCACAAGGAATCTTTTCGCTTCTAAATTCTCTTCCTAAAACGTTCTCTCCTCTCTCTTCTAAAACGCTCAAGTTGTGTATAAGACAAAACAGTCTGCCTTAAGAGGTGTATTTTTCGTTATTTTCTCAATTTCGAAACGAAAGAAGAAACCAGCAGAATTTCAAGCATCTACATCGAAACGATGTTCTATTTGCCCAAGAAATAAGGCCGGAAAAATATTTTATGGTTTCACTTTGCTCCAAGCATGCCATTTTTACTTGCGAAAATTGTACAAATTTGAGGAAGAAATTTTTTTGCCTTCCACCAAAAGGACTTTATTCCTTTTTCAGTCTTCCAGTCCAGTTTTCCATTCTGCTTTTTACAGGGTCATTGGCAGTTAGGAAAGTTACATTGCGTTGTTTAAAAATGTTAACCAGATATCAATGATTTTTTAGGCTAAAATGTTGATGGTATGAAACATTATAATTTCTTATTAATAAAATTGTATTAGCCCCAAGGCACAAACACTAACGAAGAGTTAAAGATTGTTGCGAAAACTTACAGTATATTGGAACTCGGTGGCATGATGACTGAACCAATGAAGAAAGTTCAATTTGCCAAAGCAAATTCATTTATAGACAATCGGTTTTCTATAGAAAACAGTACGTGTTTTCAAAAGTCCAGATTGAAGGCGGCGTCCGTGTCGAAAGAATTGAGCAGCTCCTGGTCGCTGAATGGGGCCGCGTCAGCCGTTCCGGCCAAATTTTCCAGAAACTCAAAAGTGAAATCGGTCGCTTGGGGATTAAACGTGGCCAAGCTGTTCCCAGGTGCATTCGAATTGACGCTGGAATTGGCCAGCATGTTGTTCATATTCTGTTGAGGCTGCGACAACGAATGGTTGTTCACGGAAATGGACTGTGACTGTTGCATGTGAATATTGGTCATAGACATCTGCAAAAAAACATCATTTGAGAGAATTAAAACGGGGTTTGCTCAAGAGCTTTTCCAAATAATAGCGCAAATTGGCGGTTTTCCGGAGTTTTGACCAAATGTTTGCAAAAAAACAAGAAAAACAGTCCGAAAATGCGCTTTCTGAACCCAAACTCTAAATTTCAACCTGAAAACTGCCAAATAAAGCTAGGTTTTGCGCAATTTTTTCTCCAATAACCATTTCCAAGGGTTTTAGAGTATTTTTTTTTCCTTTTTTGGTTGAAATAGAAAAATCCTGACACAATATCTGGTGAGAATAGTAGAGCATACGAGTGGAAGTTCTAATACTAGTTCTAAAGCAGCTTGGAGTCTAGGCCTGGGGAACTCAGTAAATTTTTAGGAGTTGGCACAGTGCTGCGCAAATGGCTTGGTGCGCCCAACGTAACGGCGCAGTAACTCAGTTTCGTTGCTGGGAAAATGTTGATGACTTCTTTTACTTGTTTTAGATTTATTTTAAAGGCCATTTATTAATAATAGTTTTTAAATGTCTTCAAATTTCAGAATTTTCCAGTTCTGGCCAAGTTGCCAAGTTTTTTTCAAAACACTCAGTTTTCTAGTTTCACTTAAAAATGCTGACAATCCTAAGGTATTTTCCGCAAAAAAATATGACATAAATTTCGAATCCTTCGTCGCTTTGTAAAAAGTTTTGAAATCCTTTCCAGCTACGAATTTGGCACAAAAAGCAAATAATTTTATACGTTTTTTCACCGAAAGTAATTAGGATTATCTTGAAAAACGACCAGAGAGCAAGTTTACAAAAAAATGACATTAAATCGCATTATTTTTCGGGTTTACTCAAAATACTGCAAATCTTCAGGTATTTTCTGTGAAAAATTATAAGATACATTTTATTGGAACACTCGCATCCTTAACCGCTTTGCAAAACTTTTTGGCGCTTCGAATTATGGACAAAACAGTAATAATTATTTCTGGGTGTTTTTCGAAAAATATTTCGCCGAACTGTAATTTATTTGGAAAACTTGGAAACTGGGGTTTCTTCACTTTTAGGTTAATATTTCAACACTGTCTCTAAACAGACAAACCTCGTTTTTCCAAACGTTTTACTGTAAAATACCAAACTGAATATTTTATGAAAAAAATTAAGATATCGATTTTACAAGAAAACTCGTCGAGTTTCTTTGGACTCAATTCTGTTGCAGGGAAAATTTACATGACTTTTTTTAGTTGTTTTAACAAAGTAGTAAAACGTTATTCAGAAAAAATGTTTTAAAACTCCTTAACCAATGAGTTATAACTCGGTAACTCAGAGAGCGGCAACAATTCCTTATGTTCACCATGTTATCCAAGACTATTGGAGTCTACAACTTGTTGTCACTTTATCCGAGGTTCTTCAATCTGTCTGCGCCTCGCGTGCTATCACCCTGTATATTTGCTTTGACCTGATGTAAATTGAAATCAGACAAACCTGTGGATTTTGCTGCTGCATCATCGACTGTTGTTGCTGCTGCTGCTGCTGCTGTTGCATGTGCAGCATCGCTTGATTCATCGAATTCATCTGAGCCATGGGCCCCCCTTGTGCTCCCATCATGTGACCCAATCCGCCCTGTTGCGCCCCCATACTGGCTTGCTGCGCCCGCAAATGTTGCTGCTGCTGGTGCTGCAGCGCCGTCATTTGCTGCATTGACGGCCCGCCCATGTTCATGTTGAATCCATCTGGAAAATCCAAGGAAAATTTGAAAAATCCAATGGGATTTTGATCAACATGCGACGTACTGCCTTGATAAGCCGGTCGGCCGGCTACAAAGTTAGCGTTTTGCTGCTGGGACATCAGAACATGCCGCCAATCGCTGTTTTGTTGGATGGCCTCCATGCCGCCCATTGGTCCGGCTTGTCGGGCATACGTCGCTCTGCCGGACATTTGCTGTTGTTGCTGCTGCTGTTGGTGCTGTTGCTGCTGCATCATGTACACTTGCGAGCGTATCATCGGGCCTAAAATAAACAAAGATGTATAGAAAAACTTACAACTACTCTTTAGGGTTGCTAATCTCTTACCGGAAGGCGGAATGGGCTGATGCGGAATTCGTCTCATGTTAGGGGGAGGCGCTGGTCCCCCATATCGCGGCTGCATTCCATGCCCAAGGCCGGCGCTGGTTTTGTAATCAGGCGGGGGCGGTCTGAGCTGCTGCTGCTGTTGCTGCTGCATCGCCTGTTGCGAACGCAAAATCTGCTGCAGCTTTTGCTGCTCCATCATCTGATTGGACATCATTCGGGCAGCCATCGGCCCGCCCACCGGGCCCATTTGCGGCACATTTACGCCGCTCATCGAGCCGCCCATTGCTGCTTGAGACAAACGCGGGTAACGCACCAACTCCCGCGCACCTGGATATGGCCTACCTGTCGGTCCGGTCGCCCTTCTAAGAGTTTGTTGAGTAAAGTTGATCGTTTGAGTTTGCGACATGGAATAGGAATCTACATGGCCGCCCATTACATTACTATGGCCCATATTGGGCCCGCCCATCATTCCCCCCATTCCAGGAGGTGTTCCTTGCATTCCTGCAGGCCCACCTTGCATGCCTACCAATTTACGATTGTATGGGTTACCACGCGGCTTTTCTATTTTGCCGAAAATATTACCTGTCCCTGAGGGCATCCCCGGTTGGGTGCTCGCATTCTGCATGCCAGCCAGCCCACCTTGTGGGCCGCTCATTTGTTGACCAATCGAATTCATGTTGCCGCCCATTTGGGATGCGTTCTACAAAACAAGAAACAACGCGTGAAAATAACATAAAAACATTGCGATTGTTGAAACATTATGCGAAGATTGAAGATGGAAAACGATGGTTTTATTGAAAGACTGGCTGATTTGGATCTACCGTAAGACTCTTTAGAGACAACCAATAGGAAATTACAAATTACTAATATCATTTTCACTAAATCATCAGTTTTTATTGCACAATTAATCAAGTCTAAACATACCTGATTCATGGTAGATTGCGCGTTGTTGGACATTCCAGTGGAATGCTGCGCTGAAGACATCGGAGCTTGTTGCTGCGCCCCAGCGCTTCCACCTTGCGATCCATGTGGATCGCCGTGTGTGAATTGCATTCCCTGTTGGGCAGCAATCGAAACATTTCCTTTAACATCGGCACTGAGATGCAAATGTTGTCCAGCCGAGACCTGAAGAACCAAAAGAAAAAGCTTTAGTTACAGAGAAAAGACATCGAGCAAACCCTGATTAAGATAGCACATGCCAAAATTAGTCAATTGCACACGTTCTTCACTTGCACACGCTTGTCACGCTACTGGAAAAAATAACAAAATTATTTTCTTGCAAAACATGCGTCGTCCCTAGCTATTGATCTCTGGAAAATTTCGTAAAAATATCTCCGTGCGTTTTGAAGAACTTGATCACATTGCATTTTTTTAAATTTCAACACAAGATATGCTGTTTAAGAACATCAACAGATATGAATTTCGCGTACTTCAAACCACCCGTAAACTTAATTTCAATGCTCATTCACCACTGAAATAATATTATTTAAAATCAACTTTCTATTTTCATTCACACTGTGGTAGAGCGGAACACCAGGTATATTCCCTCGAATTTCAGTAGTGGCAAATAATTTATATACAGTTAGTGTGAGATTTATCGCCCGCCGACAAACTCTAGGCGAGTTTAGTGATTTGTGAGCGGTCAATCGATCGGCAATGCTTTACGGCTCAGGGATAAAACTGACTTAGAGCCATAGAGTGATTTATGAGGGTCGCCTAAAAATTGCGTCCTACCTGAATGGGCCCGTGCTGGTTGATATTGAGCTGCTGGGCCTGGTTAATTTGCACCGAAGTCCCGCTTGGACCCTGAGGATTTCCATTGCCCGATCCAGAAGGCGGCCGTGGCGGAGTGCCAGCGTTGTACTGGCCAGCATTCGGGGGCGGGCAACTTCCGCGCCCGGAAGGCAAAAACCCTGGGCTCCCTCCTGGACCGGGACTGCCATAGGGGGAATACTGCTTCTGTTTGGGATAAACACCTGCGGCTGGAATCTGCTTGCGCTTCATATCGTACTCATTGCCCTGAAAATGACTGTTCTTCAGCTCCCGCTTTTGTCTTCAGCGCGAATAGTTTACCTGATAAATCATTTCCTGCTTAATCATGTCCGGTTGCGGGAAACTGGGACTGTTCTTGTGATAGTTCTGGTTGGCACTGGGACTACCATAATCGCCTTGGAATTGGAAATCTGAATAAGGAGACCTGGCATTCGGAACGCGGCTGTTCGGGTTGAAGTTCAACCCCATTTGATTCTGCAATGAAACAATGAGTCAAAACTCCCGATTGGAAAACTGCGCGAAAAACGCACCTTGTGCTGATGTTGCTCGGCCATTTGCTTCAAAGTTTGGGCAGCAGGACTGAGCTCGGTCTTGGCAAAGTCCATGTTCGGGTAAGAAAGACGATTGGAGACCGAAGCGGACGGATTCTTTTCAAACACCGGCAGCGAGTAGTTGGCCTGATTGGACTGTTCTGAGGGACTCTGAGTCGTCTTCAAGCTCTCGGAGCTCACTTGGGCGGGCTGCAAGTCCTTCTCCTCCAACTTGAGACTATTGGCAGCTTCGCTAGGCTTGGCCTCAAAGTCAAAGTCCTTCATCAAATCACCGTTGTAGCTGCTAATGTCCGAAATGAGATCGTTGAAAGCAGCTGAGGACATGATTGCGTCGCTCGTATCGTCGCCCATGAGATCGGGAAAATCTCCAAAGCCCGCACCTCCATTGGCTGCATCTTTTTCCAGTGCGGCGGCACATTGGTCCAGATCAGCAAAATCATTATCAGGCTCCTGCAATTGAATCAATAACAATGAACTAAACAAGTTGTCAACTCAAAAAGGGTGACCAGACTGAGAAACAACCGGACAAATGTCGCCAAGAATCGCCAAACGTAGGCTACAAAATCGCCAAAAACAAAGCGGAACGGTTTAAATTAAACAAGTACTTTAGTTTTTCTAACAAGTTGATTTGAAATTATACAGGGTGGTCCTCAACTAATGTCGAAAAATTCACTGACATATTGTTTAGCCCAAAATATTGCGTTTCAGGCAAATGTGTCTTATGCGAAAGTTAATAGATTCCGAGGTACAGGGTGTCAAAGTGTGAATAAAAATTTCGTTTTTTCTGAATAGATTTTTAACCAGTTTTACTAGTACCACAAAAAATTGTGTTTGGGGGTTTCCTAGATCGGCAAATCCAAATTTCCCATTGGTTGGCTTATAGTTTCTAGAGAGCGCCAGCTGCAATAGTCTGGAGCCATTTAAAACATCAGGACATTTTTGCCTTTTCATCACATATGAGGTTTTCAGTCACATTCTACGATATTTTTTAAACAAAACATCGGTACTTGTTCGAAGTCGATATCTCCCACCGTTTTCGAGATATTTGTACATGTATTGAAATCAAAGATCATTTTGAACATTTATTATGAAATAATAATTTTCAAATATTTTACTGTGTCCAAAAATAAGTTTAAAATAGTTCTAAACGTGCCTAAATAACTACTGTCTAATGTTTGCTAAGTTTTGTATAATAGAAAATTTGCGCAAAAAAATTCTTTTATTTGGATATCTAATTTGAGATGGATATCCAATTAGCTCAAAAAAATTACTAGATGTTTCAATGTGAAATATCTCGAAAACGGTTAGAGATATATCTCTTAGAGAACAAGTACACATTTTTTGTTTAGAAAATATCGTAGAATGTGATTTTACCAACCGTAGGACGATTTACCGATCTAAAAAAACTCCAAACACAAATTTTTGTGCTAGCTACTAGTAAAACTGGTTAAAAATCTATTCAGAAAAAACGAAATTTGTATTTACACTTTGACACTGTGTCTCGGAATCTATTAACTTCCAGATAAAACAAATTTCCCTGAAACGCAATATTTTGGCCTAAACAATATGTCAGTTCATTTTTGAACATTAATTGAGGACCACCCTGTAGATGTTTACTTGTGTGTCTAAAAATATATTAATAAGACAAATAATATATTTTTTCTAAATCCAGGAGTTTTTACTTATACTAATGCAAGGAACATCAAATTCTCGAAGTAGGTCTAACATTTCAGTTTCTTCTTGTTCATACTCTAAGTCAATCGCTTTGATGTTAATATCAGTATTTCGTTCTTGATTTGTCGTTACGTTTGATGAAAAATCTTTAATCATGTCAGTAGTAGAATTAAAATTCCAACAGCATATATTATGTGCATAAAAATGCATCTTTATCCTTAAAGAGAAATTGAAAGAATTTGTCTTTTAAGAAGAATTTAAGTATACGGTTCTAATATGCTTAGGTTTATGATTTAAGCTTCAGCTTTCAGACATAGGCGTTTAGATCCTAAAGCTTATACTGCTATTTTTTAGCAGGCTAATAGAAAACTCCAAAATCATCAAGCCGAAAGAAATCGCCAGTCGCCCTGGTCACCCTGAACTCAAACCCAAACTTACCTGCTTAACACATTCAACAAGAGTGCCAACATCGAGCCCAATATTCGCTTTGGATGCATGTCCAGGCGTACCAGGAGTGGCGGCTTTGGGCGACGAAATGTCGCTCTTCACACTCGCATTCGCATGTGTTTTAACCGTAACATTGGTGCTAATTTGTTGGGGCTGAGAATTCGCTGCTGACGTTGTAAACTCCAGCTGCTGGACAATTTCCACCTGAATAGGAGACTTTATGTAAAGAGCCGTGAGATTAATCAGAGAAAAAAGCAGGCCAAAAAAAAAAAGGGCAACAATCGCCAACGTAACGAAACGATACGGCAAAGTGAGCGTTGTCAATTGCAGCAGAAAAAAAACAAATTCCGCATAAGTGTGAAAATATTGGCAATGTTTGCTGGCTAGGAGTAATCGAAGTAAAAGTCTAAGCCTGAAAGAATTACCGAAAACTTTGTGAGACCCTCATTCTGGTTTGTTCCGTGTTGCTGAGCGGTACATTGTAGCTTAACTGGCTGCTCGAAATTATCAATGGGATTTCCTGTCTCCAACTCATCTGCGGACCGTTTCAGGAACTTTTGCTGCTAAAACAATATCAACACTGTAATCAAATTGCAAATAATTCTATTATAAAATAACTGATCATATGCATTCTCGTCTTATATCCACTTAAACCAACAAGAATCGAGCCGATATTTAGAGGCAAAAACATCCTTTGCTCGATTCTTCGGGATAACAACTCTTTCAAAGTGTGCTCAAATTCATGGATTTTCCAGACAGAAAGAGTCCACCAGACTTTTAAAGTGCAATTTAAACGAGTGTATACATTTTTATGCTTCACATAGAAACAAGTATTTGCATTCAAAGTGCAATGTTTCACTTTGAAAATCCATGAAACTTGAGCAAACTATAAAATTATTGATTTTTTATTCTTCAGGGACAAGCATTTGCATGATTTGAAGGCCTTTAAATAAAAAAAACAGCATTTTCTGTTTAAAAAAATAATGTTTTAGACAGAAAGTTAGAAATCAATTTGGTTGAATTGGGATAAAAAAAAGTCGTAAAAGGAATTTTTTCATGTCAAATTTAGTTCAGTTGGCGTTAAATGTGTGAAACCCAAAAAAACCTTTGCTGGATTTTTGGGAGTTTTATTGAAGTTGGTTTCAGCGCCATAAGATTCTGTTGATATTTTTTCTTTGCTTTTCCCTTATTTAGCCAAAGAACTTTTCCCCAAAAAAACGAACACTATTTGTCACGTAACCTGCCCAGATCCCCCGACCATTGGAAATAAGGTTTTGAAATACTTTTGATTTGATTTTTGCCGGAAAATCACATTTAGTTTGTTTCTACCAAACCAAATTTCCATTCGAAAAAAAACGATTTTTTATCAAAACTCCGGCTCTTTCCAGTGTATCAGGTGGTGATTTTTCCAAAATCCTCCGATTAATGACTTTTGAAAAAACTGAAATTCTGAGCCTGCCACTGGATGTGTGGCGAGAACTCAAAACCCATAGAAAAGTTGAACTGTTCACTTTTCCTCCAAAGGAAAAAATAAGCCCGCAATTCTGACTTTCTACAAGACTGATTTGTTTAATTGTTCTTGGCCCTGATTTTAAATGACAGAAATTCACCTATTTTGGGCCAATTCCGCAGGGGCGTGCAGACATTTCAGGGACATCCTGTATATTTTATATCCGTTTACGCGAACAAAAATCGTCGATTGTGCTAAACAAACTATCCAATTGCGTGTAAATTAAGTGTTTTAGGTGAGAATATTTTGCCCAAAACTTCTACGCCACTGAGTAAGACCCACTTTGAACGATCGTTGTGTCTCCACAAAAACCCTCCTTTCGTCAAATAGTCAGAAGCTCACTAATCTATTGAAAAAATCCTGTGTAAATTCGAATAGGTAGCACCTAGATTACTGCAGTTTTAGCCTACTTTGAGTGACTGGTTCAACAGCCAGCACTGCACAAACTTTGGGGAGAAAGCGTGCAAAAAATCAGCATTGAAATGGACTAAAAGCCCGGATATTCGACTTCCGTTTACCAACTTCTACAGACATTCTGTATGCAGGAATGGGTTTCCGGTGGAGATTATGGCAAGTTCAAATGGCCGAACCGAACGCGTTCAAATCGAACATTCCGCAGTGGAAACAACCGATAAATGAGGAACCAACCTGCAGATTGATTGGCCCTTTGGTGGGTGGGAAATTTGGAAAGTTGGTACCTGTTCGATGAATTCGTCGTCATCCTCTTCTGACGACATATCGACTGTTGTCACTGTTGTAACCAAGGGGAAATCACCAAGTTTGGAACCATGGTTGTCACTTTTTTACGGCCGTTTATTAAATCACGCACGTTTCACCGAAATTCCTGTACAGGAAAACACTTTTGTTTATCGCCAATTGATAATAACAACGATATCGAACCAAAACCGAACCGTTTGCCCTGTATCGATGACGTTCACGAATCGGTACCCAAAAACAAATGATTCAGTTCTGAAAAAATCTACATTACAATGTCTAATTATAATCGTTCACAAACGCGACTTTAAATTCAACTTTACCAGCTGATAAACGTGCGGAAATACACCGTTTAAATTGAGGCACCCAAACGCGGCAACCCGGCGCATATACAAGGTGGTACCATGCGGACAGTACCCGAATCACCTGCAACGCGATACGCGAATCCCGATCTCTGCTACTAATAACCGACCGCGTTCTGTTGTTTTACCGCTGTGCAGTACTGTTTACGATAATTACGTCATTTACATAGTAAAATTGTCGGTTTTTTTATGTAGGACTGTTTGGTGATAATCGTTGTAGGCGACCGACACATTTTGCAACAGCATTGACGCTGTCGTAACGGTTTGGTGGCGGCGAGCGGCGTACCGACTGTTACGGGTACCGATCACTTAATGTGCAACCAACAGCAAAAAAATCGTTTAGCTAGACCGCGATCACTGGATCTGGCCAATCACCCACATAATTCATCATTTGCATGCACCCAAAACGGTTCCCGAATCAACTTGCACCCAAAACCACACACACACATGCACAATCAGTGCAACACGGCCGTTCATTTAAAATCGCCAAAATACTGGGAAAAATTGAGATTTTAAATTCTGATTTATTTTCCTGACTGCGTGTGCTTGTTATTATATTCTTATATTTCCTGGGTCTCAGTCGAAGTGTGAAGTAAAAAATTTTTGAACATCGTTTATTTCATTACGTTACGGCGAGGCAACAGCGCCATCATCAGATTTAAAATTTACACAAACTACAAACACCAATTCACAATTAAAACATGTTGTATAAAAACTATAATTTATAGTGTTAAAACATTCATCAGTTTTTGAGGGAAAAAAATGTGACTGAACATAAATACAGTCTGAGAAATACTAGTGAAAATAAAACAGCATTAACACAACATGCACACCAAATGTTGCATAATTTTGATTTTAACAAGGCAGATATATTAGTTAGGGAAACAAATTATCATAAAAGAAGAATCCAAGAAATGATACAAATAAAAAAACATGCAAAAGCAGTAAATTTCAGATCAGATACCGACAACCTTAGCAACATTTACCAAACCCTAATAAAGCCATAAGTATGGAACACCCGGTACACTGGTGAAAAATTAAAACTATTTCTGCTTCTCTCAATACATACATGGTTTGAAGAAGGCAAAGACCTAAAAGAACGTTGATTGTTACCAATCATGAGGTAAGTTTTTCCAGTGTTTTGCTCTCCCAAAAGGAAGGATTTTTTTCCCTCAAAAACTGATGAATGTTTTAAAACTTTATAAATTATAGTTTTTATACAACATGTTTTAATTGTGAATTGGTGTTTGTAGTTTATCTAAATTTTAAATCTGATGATGGCGCTGTTGTCTCGCCGAAACGTAATGAAATAAACGGTGTTCAAAATTTTTACTTCACACTTTGACTGAGACCCGGGAAAGATAAGAATGCGATTTTAAATGCAACTGGGTTCCTAGTCTGGTAATTCATTTGGTTTTCTGTTGCCATCACGAACATTTGCAGAATATACAGGGGGGTTCATGAATATGGGGACTTGGTCGGAACGTCTGCGGCACTCCTGAGGATTGGCCTGGATGTGTACGAAACCTTGCTGGTTAATTTCAGTTTTTGAGTTTAGAACGCTAGATTTTCAAAAAAATTGCGCTGGCGTGGAAAACCTTTGGCTTTTTTTTGGACATTGTCCCCTTCTATCCAGTGCCGCGGTCGGAATTGCACCATCTTTTTTAATTTCAAAGACTGAAGATTTTTTGATCACAGTTTTTCTAGGTTTTTTTCAAAAAACATCAATCGCCAATTTTTCCAAAAGGATGCCTGGTTTGGGAGAAAAAAATTAGAGAGAAAAAAAGGTCCGGACAAAAAATCTAAAGTATGTTTTGCAAAATGTCCATTTACAGGGCGTGGCATGTGGACAAGTTACGTTACGGCATACACTGTTCGATTTTTTTTGAAAAAATTCCTTGAAATACGGAAAAAAAAAGGTTAACAGGTTCTTATGGCGGTGAAACTTCCAAATTCAATAAAACCGCCCAAAATTCCAGGAAAAAATAATTTTTTACAGGCGAACTGTTTTGGTTGCTTGTATACATTTAACGCCCATTGGGCCCAATCGGACAACATGGAAAATAATTCCTTTTGAAACCCCAGTCTAAATTTGTTCCCAAATCCCAAAAATTCAGTCGCTCCCGTATCCGTTACTTCATAGAAAAAGTGAATATCAACTTTATCAGTGGCGCGCTTGAAATCGCTCTCTGTTTTGCAGCTGTGAAGGTTTTGTTGAAAACCAACTTTTGGATTATTTTTTAAAAACGATTAATTGAAAAAAAATGCCACGTGGTACCTTGGAACAAGTCGAGGTTTTATGAAAAACCGCTTTCTCAAAAGGACGACTGATTTGAGAGGAAAAAATTAAAATGCAATTTGACGAAAACAATTAAAATGTGAATTTCCGGACAAAAAATTAAAAGTGCGGAGTCGAAAATTTTAAACAATTCCTTATGGTGTTGAAGCTTCCAAAAATCCAGCAAATGCGAAATTGTTTAATAATGAATAGAAGAGTTTTTTGGTTCTTTTCACACATTTAATGCCAACTGAACTCAATTTCACAACATGAAAAAAAAAAATTTTGAGCCAAAAAGAAGAAAATTTGGCCCTAAAACTAACAACCACCAGTGGCTCGCTCTTCATTAATTGTAGAGAAAAAGTAAATACCATCGTTCTTATGTCTGTCCAGTGGTGCACGAGGACTTTCTCCGATTTTTAAGTTGCAGATATTTCAGATTTTTTCAAAACGCGTTTTGGACTTTTTTGCAAAAACCATCAAATAGTTTTGAAGGTTTTTGGAAAAGCCGGACGTTTGATGAAAAAAATTAAAATATGAATTTCGAGCGAGATTCCAAGGACGGACCTCAGAGAAAAGAAAAAGAGGCCTGGTTCCGGACAAAAAAAACTAAAATGTGAATTTTAAAAATTTTCCGTGTTGAAAAAGTGGTCCGTAAAAAAACTTTCAAACAATCAAAAATGTTCCAACATTTCCCTGTAAGAAAAGTTTCCGAATTTTTCCTTATACAGCGTGACAGACAGTGTTTCATCTTTGTAGGAAAACTATTTTGCTGCAGTAGGGGAGAAGGAAGTAAAACAGGTTCTTCAAGCGAAAATTCAATAAAATCTCTAAAAATGCCCGAAATGAGAATGAGAATGGAAGAAAATCGAAAAAAAGCCTTCAGCAATCCGGATATTTTATAAAGAATAACTTTTTTATATGAGACCGTGCTTACGAGAAAAAAAATTATGTAAAAATTACGCCGTAAAAAATAACCAAAATTTTCTTTTCGAACTGTTCCCATCACCTTGCGCCACATAAATGAACAACAAAACATATATTTCAATGTGCTCTGAATGAGCAAAATAAGGGCAAAGAAAATCTTACAGGACACAAAAATCAATCCAATTTTCGCGGAAAAAACCTCTTGAAATTCCTTGTGCAAGAAGAAATATTTAAAAAATCAAAAGAAACAGCGACAAATCCCGCAGAACCGTTCCATTTTTTTCCTACCTTTCAACCGCACTAATAAGTTCGCTTTGACTTATGTAAAATGCGACTGAATTGCTAAGTAAAACAAATTATGCAAGGCTAGATATTGTTATTTCCAAGGTCCGACGACGCTACGACGGTGACCGTTTATTGAGCGACAATCAATCAGCTATTTGAACCAACCAGAAAACACTTATAGTCCGTCCAACCTATTTGACAGTGACGTTACTAGTTGAGACACCATATTGAAATTTACTTATGTCAGAGATTGGTTTGTAAGAAATTCATCCTGCGTGGGGCCAGCTTCACTCAGATATGAAACATGCTGGGTTTTTTTATGAACCCGAGAACAAAACCAAATAGAAAATGCATATGAAAAAATTCGAAAACACTGGCATAAAAATCAAATCAGTAATTCTAATATTCTTCCATAAGTCCGCGAATTGAAACAATTTGATGCAAGACAAGATCTGTATGTTTGTTTAAGACACAATTATTACGTCACTGCCAAAAAGCTTGAACTCACAGAAAATCATTACAAATCACGAAATCACTAGATGCTTTTAGGTTTTGAACGGCTTTGTACCTAGAGAGCAAATGAAGAAACTGGACTAATGGCCGCGATTTGTGAATTGGTGACCTTTGAAACTAGCTGGCGCATTTTCCGATGCATTTCGTCCATATCGAATCAACCAACGATACAGTTAGCAAGGTAAACACAGTAATATCCTAGGCATTTGCATGATGTAAATGTTGCTGTGATCCAACACAATTGTGCTGCTTTCATTTGGTAGTTGGCGAACGAGTCACCGTGGCCATTACAAAGCCAAAGACCTTTATCTCCTGCATGGCTAATGTATATTACGGCCGAAGCCACTTCCGAGATTTATTCGTTTCAAGCACTTGAGTTGCACTATTTATACGGATTCCTGATAAGACGAAAGCTATGAAATCTACAGGATGAGCGCAAACAACAAAACGCACTGGTCAAGGTTTTGTTGCATAGTTTCAGGCCCGCTTGCACCAAGCAGCTCTAAAAGCCTCTTTCGCCAGTTCCAAGAAAAGGACAGAGGAATTAAAAAGAATGGAAATAATGAAGATGGAATTGAACGTTAAAACTATTTATCAAAACTATCGCTTTGCCGATTAAAACTATGCCCACCTGATAGAAAATATCATAACAAACAACATTTATATTATAGATTTTTCGAGAAAATGCCGTTTTCCACTACTTTTCACCCACTGAAATACAGAAATTTTCAAATCAAAACAAAGGCCGCCATGATGGTTTGCCTCATTGCGCCGGCGTCCTAGCCCAAATTTTTCGCGCAGTTGCCAGTACTATGATTACCACTTCCTTAAGCACGCGGTCATCATACTTCAACATAGAAAAATTTCACTGTTCATTTTGCATGTCTTTTATTTTATATCTTATTTGCGTCGTGCCTTCCCAAATAAACAATTTTCGGATTTTCGTGTTTTGAGATAATGCTTTCTTTTTATTTTGATTTTCTACTTTGGTGGCAGTTTGGCAACGCGGCTCGATTTTTCGGCTGTGTGAAGGCCGCGACTGCGCGTAGCCAGCGCAAAACATATCGTGTTCCAGACAATTACCAAAAAGGGCTCTATTTTAGTGGTATTGCTTTTAATCACCAAATTTAACATAAATTTGAAAAATAATTTATAATCTGTTGTTGAAGTTGTAGTGGGCCATAGTTATTGAACATTGAATGAACATTGCCATTCATGTCACGTGCTATATTGTTCTCATTATCCTCAAATATATTAAAATGTCCATTATGCTATTTCAAAACACGCGTACAACTAAACAAAACACGCAACCACTTGTCTTATGGCCGTATTTATAGTCCAAGTGCCAAGTGGCACTTGAGAGACACTTATAGAAGAACGACTTGAGTGACTTTTGACACTTGAGGTAGAAGCCATTTTATAGTTCATAGTATATCTGAACAAGTTTCTGCTCTCCGTGGAGCTGGAAAGGATCTTGCATATCTCGTATGCATCTCTTTGGAACCCGTTCGTGCATTTCTCCATCAACATATTGTATAAATTCTTCCGAATCGTCCATATTAATAATATATTTAACAAAACGTGTGACTCAACGTCTATTTAACTCAACTATGACAGAAGGTTTGGCGCCAGAATGATTAGGTTACAAACAAGCTCAAGGGTCCTATAGTCCACATGCAGATATTTTTTTTTATCGTCCGCACCAGTCCTGGCTGATTGCGCTTGCGCGTCCCGCTGCCATGTTGCCGCTATGCACATATTTGGTTTTTAACCGCCTGGCCCTGCTGGAATAGCGACGCCTAACCTCAGAGAAAGTCGTGTGGCGAACTCTATGCGCCAATTCTCAAGTAGCAGCTCCAGCCGAAATGTCAGCTATATCTCACCACATAACATCTGCGCCGTTTCGGTACAAATACAACTTCTAATACCAAATAGTGTATCGGAAATGGACAGTCAACATTTCCAACATTTGTTATAAATAATTTGCCTTTGTTTTATGTTATCGTCGATATGTTATTTAACCTTTTAAATAAAAAAAACACCAAATGGTGCACAGAACCATTATTTGGTGTATTTGTCTGTCTGTGGATTCATCAAATAATACTTTGCAAAAAACAAACGGGCTAGCCGCAAACGGCCGTGCCGTATAGCGTGAATAACCCTGTATAATTAAAGTGAAGATCATAGACAACATTTGAATATATCTGTTCATTATTTTAGAAAGCAGAAAACAATAAAAAACAAACAAGATCCATGACAAGAATCCAAATCTTTACTGCGGGAACTAATTGTTTAAATCACTAACGATGGAATTAGCATAAATTTCAGCAACAGCCACCGAACTAAAAACGTGCTAGAATCCACAAGAATCCGTGTTTTTCTGAGGTTATAATTTCGTTCGCAATGGAAATATCAAACCGGCAACGCGGCAGAGAGACGCGCAAGCGCAATCAGCCAGGACTGGTGCGGGCGGTTAAGAAAAAAATATCTGCACTCCACATTCCAAGTCGCTCTTACACGTCAGCTGATCTCGAAGTGACAACTATAAAACGCATTTTTCATTATGACAGTCACTTGAGTGTTCAGTGTCACTGGAATAATGTGTGCCTAATGTCTATAAATACGACCATTAGGCACGCATGCACCTATAAATGTAAGGTTATATTTTTGCAAATGCAGACGTAAGCCGTCATTGAAGCCAGCTTTTCGATCCTTAAGCCAGGCTTAAACAACCGTGCAAACGATCTCTACAATTAAGCTCGGCTTTCCGAAAAGCCATGCTTATTTATTAGTGGTGCAAGCGGGCCTCAATTAATCAATAATAATCAAGTAAAAGCGAAGAAGCGAGAGAAGAAACTTACCACATGAACGCTGCTTTGAATTCCATCCTGTTTCTTTTCTTTGGTTTTGGGCACTCGTTTCGTTTTGGTGTCCAAAAATCGCTGCTTCAAATGTAGCGTGTCCTGTAGGTTCTGTTCACACAGTCCCGAAAAGGACTGATCGTAACGCGGCATGCAGTCAGTCTGTCGCTTCCGATACGATTCAATCCGACGCCGCAACCTGAAATACGCACTTGGAATCATTGGTGAGTAAATAAAATTCGGATCCGAAAACATATATAGACAAATTTACTGGCGGGTTTCAACCACAAACTGGCACCGATCAACCCTGGTTGAAGCACGCCAGAACCTACCCGCACATGCGCACAATGTGCAGGAAAAAAAACGCATGCATTCTGAAGTACTACGCTCAAAGATCTTTCTGGAAGCGGCGTGTAACACTAAACCGAATCGAATACTTCGCGACAGGTTTCCCTTAGCTCAGAACTTTCACACTTCTATCTTCATACTATTGACACTCTATCTCTGACTAATCGCTTTTGACCAGAAGTATACAATAAGGGAGATGAAAGAATGACTCTCCGGTGCGTGACAAAGACGACTATGAACCCTATTCTGTAACCATTTCGTTAAAAGTTAACGGACGTTACAAAGTTTACGGCCTCTTAATTTTCGATTGGTATTCTGTAACTCGATTGTCCGTTAAATACATAACCTAAATCCGTTATAAATGTTGGGCGGCCGCTTATTTTAAAGGCTATCCTCAAAGTAGCCGTTAAGTTTAAGCGGACCAGTTGACAAATTAATATCAAATATAAGTGTTTCAAAGAAGTTGTTTCAGTACAACAGTTGAATTTGTATTAAATTTATACACACTAGGTACACACACAAGATAGGTACTATCAAATGTTGTCCTTGCTGTTTGATTTGATAAGCGGAATCTGTGGAAAAAGTTCCACAGGTCACAACTTCGCTTTCATCCTCGAAGCCTTCGAGACACCAGTAATCGATTTAATATTCCTGAGAAAAAATTTTAATTCATTTTTCCGTTTAACAAAATACCACTGGAAGATGAGGTTGAGGTAACAAACTGTTGGTTGTTATTAAGAAGTTACGGACGTAATTCGGAATGGATTTTTGCACAATTCAATGTTTCATTTTGTCTGCCCACGTGATTCTGTATTCTGCAGCATGGCAATCTTCAAGAATTATAAGCAATATGGAAGATCAGTTTGTCATGGGTAGTTTTAGGTTTCAATTCTTTGGGCGACTGCATGCCCCTTACAACCGTTCCGTATAACACCGTTCGAAAATTATAGGGAAAAGATCACAGAAAATAATTTTAATGAACACATAAGAGCTAGACATATTGTAGAAATAAAAATGTTCTAAGGTCACGATTTAGATATTTACTTAAACATCGTGTTCTAAATTATGATCCAATAAAAGCAGGAAAACGTCTATAAATATTGTTGAGGTTTCTACATAATATTAAGCATTTTTATAATAATGATTTTACTTCTTAAATTAAAAAACAAATTAAACAGACAACTACTTGAGACAGATACAAGTCTTGCTTCAGCACGAGGTTTTACTTTAGGCAATTTTAGGTTATCAAGATTATAAACTTAGGGAATATTTCGATGTTGCCACCTACTACTGTTGAGAAAGTTTAACGGACTCCGCTAAAATACATTTTTAACGAAGTCAAAATTTACATAGACCGGATAGCAATCAGTCGATTGCGATATAACAGACCATTAACAATTTTTGAAGGCCTTTAGTTTTTGACGGAAAAGTTACAGAATAGGGCTCTATAGACGTGTATTCGCGAGTTCAAAAGTGCAAACGCACCCTGGTGACTAAAATTATAACTACCAGTTAACTAGTAATTTGACAGTTGTTTTGTTGACATTGGTGATTTGTTTCGTTTTGTTCTAACCAACTTGTGCAAGCTTTTCATTTTTGTTACAAATGCAACACTCACTTTTCGCTTGTTTACCAACTCCAAGAGATAGACAAGTCTGACAAGTCTCAACTGACACTCGGCAATGAGTAATTTGACGTTTTGCAGCGCCTCCATCGGTAGTTGAACTCGCGAACAAACAAAGTAAGGCCGGGTGCAAAACGAATATTTGACATTTGACTTAAGTACGGATGGGGCACTGCAAAACGTAAACAAGTACTCGTTCGAGTGACATGTAAACAATGAGCGTGATCAAATGTCAAATGTTAAGCTTGTGTCCGATGTATCGGTTTGTACGATGATACGAAAGTGTCTATTGGTCAGAGATAATCTCTAAAATCTCGTGAAAAATTAACTAGCCGCCTTCTGAACTACGAAAAACTAAATCATGCCTATTCAGCACCAAAGAAGACATGGGCGTTTACAAAATTTCATGTCAATTAAAACATTGATGCCGAATAAAAAATTTAATCCTTACGTCAAAAAGAGTTAAACAAAAGGTTGAGATTTTTTATTCTCTACAATTCTGCGATTGAACGTTTTCCGCGAGGAATTCACGTTTAACCGCAAATCGCAAAAAAAGTTTTCAACCCCTAAATTATATTAAGGTTTATCTTAGTTAAAGCTAACTGTTCCTAAAATATTTTTGTGAAAATAAAGCCCCCCTTTCTTAAGGTTACATTTTCAACACCCATTTCAAATTTCGAAACCAAATTCTACCTTGCGGCTACTAATAGATGCCGTTTTGTCAATTCAATTCAATCAGCAAATTACTAAAATTAGACTCAAAGATTCAGGTTGTCCCAACATTGTGTTCAAACAATTGCACGATTTGAACGGTAATAACGTGCTTAATTTAAATTTAAAAACACCCTATACTTTATGACAGGAACGCATGAAAATTTTAATTTCCCTTCGAATACTATCAAGGGATCCTTTATCTAACTCTTCACGTTTTCATAGAAATCGCATGCTTTCAAGATTCATGCCGATATTATCAAATGCAATCATTTATCGAGTCACGTATCCCAATTTGACTGGTTTAAATATTTATTGTAATATTATTTGAACTTGTCAGTTCATGGACTAGAAATCGCTTCTATGCAATCTTGCTTTGTTGATAGTTTTTTTACAAAACAGACACAAAAATGCAAGTTGACTAAATTAGAACGAATTGCTATCATTTTTATTCCGGGATAATGTCTCCAAAACCTTTTTAGCATCGCGCATGTACGCTGAAAATGTCTCCAATGCAGTCGTATGACAAAGATTATTAAACATTGAGAATAAATGCTTTCAGAGCAACAGAATTGGAAGGTGTAGCTTCTTTTTTGGCAAATTTTTCTTTTCTGACAGACTTATGTTTCATAATAATGGATAACACATTTTCCGGGACACCCTGTATAGTCGTTCCTTTCCTAACATGAGAGAGGTTCCTTCCTTGTAGAGGAGAGTGAAAACTATATCAGAATTTGTAAAACATTTTAGGAATAAGCTCCCTACACGAGTCCCTTAAAAATGACGAAATCAGTTTTATCAAAACCGTTGAGTGGATGAAAAATTGGAAAAATCTATCAATGTATTATCAGACTATGAAGGCTTTCACGGCCGGTCAGAAGCCCGGAAAACATTTCTAAATGTTATCAATGTATTGTTTACAAGCACATTTTTTGGTAGTAAATATCACAGAGCTTTGCCCCCTAAAGTACCAGAATTGTATTTCTAAAATCTTCAGAGGCAGCAAACAAAGTCTTAAAATGGATGATTCCACACAATCGCTTTTAGCGAAGCTATCGCAAGTAGCGCCTTGAAAATTTCAGTCCTTCGAAAACACGACCCTAAAAATGTTACGATCCAAATGCTCATTTTTGGCAGCTGTGTACACGTAAGCTTTAATCGGGGAAACCCAATTGATGTCTCTCTTAAAACAGTATTACTTGCAAACTACGGCAAGTAGCTACTTTAAGTTTTTGCAGTATACAGAAGACACTACAATCTGAAAACCCGGACAATTTCATTCATTCTACCGGAGATTTGACTAAAAATGAGCCATTCACCTGCTAACAACTGGACACTCAGTTTAGTATCTAGGGCAAGCAGCAAATTGAAAATTTCACAATATATCCACGAAGACACTTAAATCTGACTATCCGGAGAATTTGAATCCAATAGGACTAAATACTAATTTCTGCCGGCTTGGTACAAGTTGGGCGAAAAATGAGCGACCACCTGCCAGCAACCGCACACTCAGTTTAAAAAATTCGTAGCTTCCAATGAATACAAACAGCAAATTAAAAACTTGAGAATGTGTAGAAGGCATTTGAATCTGGAATCCCGGAGAATTTCAATCTAATCTAATGGCACTAAATTATGATTTTTAGCGACTTGGTAAAAATTGAGCAAAAAATGAGGGTTCCCCTGCCAAGCACTGCACATCCAGCTCAAAAAATTCGTAACTTCTAATTTAGATCAAGTAACAAATGGTAAATTTGACAATCTATAGAAGACATTTGAGTCTGAAAACCTGGAGAATTTGAATCAAATGGCACTGAATCCTAATTTCTGCAGACTTGGTAAAAATTAGGCGAAAAATAAGCGTTCACCTGCCAGCAAGTAGCAAATCGAAAACTACACAATCTATACACGAAGACACTTGAATCTGACTATCCGGAGGATTTCAATCGAATGGCACCAAATTATGATTTTTGGTGGCCCAAATTCATAACTTCTAATCTAGAGCAAGAAGCAAATTGAAAATTTCACAATCTATAACCCGGAGAATTTGAATCAAATGGCACTAAATCCTAATTTCTGGCGGCTTGGTATAGGTTGGGCGAAAGATGAGCGCCAGCGACTGCACACTCTGCTTAAAAAATTCGTAACATCTAATCTAGAGCAAGTAGCAACTTGAAAATTTGACAATCTACAGGGTGATTCAAAATTGGCGTCATTCCTTTTAAGGGGTGATAGATGCTCCCTTGGGGAGTACGAGAAAAAGATAGAAAATGTTTTTTCTGAAAATTTCTAGAAGATATTAACAGTTGAAGATCGAATTTCAACTTTGTTATTAAGCCTTATTTTGAAATTGTCCCATGTTTAATTGGTAGCATATTGGAATACTTAAGCATTCAAAAAGAAAAATTTCGATCTTTGCTTCAAATTCCAGGGGCACTCAGAGCACAATAACTGACACTTTCCGAAGCCACAAATAAATACCGAGGAACACACAGCACAAGGAGATACAAATGGAGCAGGTGTTAATTAACTGAATACGAGAAGCTGCTTGATAAGAGTGGATAATAAGGAGATTACACAGGCACTAGCTTGTTTTGAATTAACCATTCAAATGTTTGGTGTCGTATGGTTTATTTTTAAACACCGATATACGAGGTTATGAGAACAGGTTGACATTTCGTCAACAAATCTTGTTGAATTTAGCGTTTATCCTTGTCTATCTTATTGTTAGTCTGTATCATTCCATGGTTACCGGAGTTTTAAATAATTACGAAGCAACAAGTATTTGCACAATGTTAATTAGGCAGATTACCTTGAAAAACATTGCTGCTGTATTTCTGATATAGTTTTTTGCAAATTTCTCAGTTTTTAATAACAATTCATTTCTTTTTTTTTCTGTACTCCTATAACAGCGCCAGACAACACCTCCAGACGATCACGCCAATTTTGAATCACCCTGTATAGAAGACATTTCAACCTAAAAATCCGGAGAATTTCAATCAAATGGCGCCAAATTCTGATTTTTGGCGGCTTGGTAAAAATTGGGGCTACAAATTTTAGTTCACCTGCCAACTGCACATTCATCTTAAAAATTTCTAAACTGGAGCAAGTGACTTGACAATTGACAGTTGACAAGTTGACAATCTATAGACGATATTCTCAAGCTGAAAACTAGAAGAAATTCAATCAAATGGCACTAAATTGTTGATTTTTGGCGGCAATACTGAATCTTAAAATTCTGCGAATGCTATTAAATCATCGCGAATTCTGAGCAAAGTCCCTCAAATTCTGAACTAGTTTTTTTACATTTTATCAGAGTTTATAATTGCGTCATTACCCACGGGATAGAAAGGCCAGAATAAATCCAAATTTAACATAAAAAACCTCTCAAGTAGCTGCATTCAAAAGCAGTTTATAAATTAACCCGTTTCCTTTCCAGCTAAGATTATAGGCTCTTTTATTTGCTATGGCGAATACTCAGTTGTTTGTTTACAAAATTACCAAACCTATTCATAAGTTTACCAGATTTCACCAATGACAATCTGGCAACTCAGCAATTATACAGTTACTTAAGCACTCAAAATCAGGGAAATTCTAAATACTTCTTTGGGGTACTTTTCTTCGGAATAAGTCCAAATCAAGTCCGACGCATGATTTTGAAAGCATTGAGCTATACAACACTGAAAACCATTTCCTCATATAACTTTCCAATTTTGAACTATTGCGTTTTAGAAATCTATAAAAATCTGCGTGGGTTACATTCATTTTAAATGGGATCAGCTGTGCACTTTACCCGAGAGGGTACCGGGTGACATCATGCGCAAGAAAATCGAATTTTTGAACAAAGAATGAAGTAGTAATCATGCTCAAGAAAATCGAACTTTTGAACGATGAATGAAGTAGTGAATTTAATTGAGTGAAAAGTAGTCGAAAATGGCATTTCCCCTTCAAATACTATTGAGAAAAGTTGTTAATAAAATTTTTCTCTACAAGGTGAGCACGTTTTCGAAGGGGTAGACTAAGGCCTGATGTCCTTGAAAACTACACGAATACTGCAATCGAATTCGAATTGACACTGAACATTCCATCAGGTTGGCAATCGTGTTGCCGACGTTGTGGGTGTTTTTAAGACCATACTACATACCTAACCGTTACGTCTTGTTGCCAAGATCCAGTCCCAAATGGGACCTACTATTTGACTGAGGAAAGGACTTACCTTTCTACCACAGCCCTTTTGGGGGGAAGTTCGGTATGAAGCGGTGGCAGTCCTGGGGGCTGGGGGACGACGGAGGGAATCGTCCCACCGCCGTCGAGGCAACCCCCTGGTCCAGAGCTAGCTCGATCCAGTGTGTTGATCTACCAGGTCACACAGTCACATTGCCCTTCTTAGAGGTGCCAGCCCAGCAGCCACATAACCTCAATTGGGTTATTTATGTTTCTAGCTGAGAGCCTCAATGCTCAGAGCGACATTCCTTTGAGCTGGCGAGTGCGAGGACTGAGCACGGCTCTATCTGGTACCGTCTTTGCGCCACTCACGAGTCAATTAGTAAGTCGACAACGGGAAACAGTACTGTCGGGGGCATAATTAATGTTTTGAAATCCGCACAAAACACGAACTTTTCCAACAGGTTCCCGCTTCCGGTCGAGCACGGTGTTGAATCTAAAAATACGCCAACCTCTTGACCTGAGCCTGAGCGCAAATGTGACGTGAATTGGGATTTGTCAAACGTTTTTTCGAAAAATACAACCCAAAACGACCGAAGGTTGATCGCGTGTTTCTGCGCTGGAAATCGACTGAACAAACGGTGAACGTTGCAAAACACCACGATTTCAACCAGTTCACACGCACTCACCTTCGAACAATGGCTGGATGCTGTTGAACGCTCTCAATCTTTCAAAACAACACTTTTTCATCAGAAAAACATTAAGTACAATGTCGTCTGCCTAGCAACCGCAGCCATTTTCTATGCGCGTTATGCGTTACGGTGCAGCCGCCCCGTTGCCACTTGCCGCCCTCCAAATATCGCTAATCAAAACAATAACATTAAGATCACCCTATTTTTTATCAAACTTTATAGAAAACAATCCCAAATTGTTCATGCAATTGCCACTGTTGGCAAGCGACGATCAGGACAGACTGTCGCTAATAGTCTAGAAGGAAAACAGTAAAAAAAACCCGTAAATTCCGCTTGAGAGTGACGTCGAAATACCGAAGTGCGGCAACATGCGCAGCCACCTGACTAGTGTTGTGTTTTCGGTGAAGGGTGGGTCGGGGGGTCGGGCGGCAGGTCGGAGTCGATGATCGGATGGAAGTCGCGTGCGCTCGGCTTTACCGATTTTCGTCCTACCTCAGCCTACCGGGGACTTTTCAAAAGTTTATTGGAACAAATTAGCGGGTTGTCATGGCAATATCATTATACGCGGGTCAAACGACGACGACTGAAATCAACATCAACGAAAATAGGGTGTTTTCATTGTATCAAAAATTCCTACAAACTGAACATTAATCTATGGTAATATGTATATATGTATGAAAGATTAAATAAGTTTATACTATCTATCTATTGCTATTTTGTTAAATATTTAATAAACAAATTCAGCTTAAATTCAAATTATTCATGAATCTCTAAAACGCAATCCTATTGGTTGAGCCGTCGCTCGTCATATAAATGGCAGATTGTTTACGTTCTGTGCATAGTGTTTAGTTGTGTGGTTCTGTTTCATTAATTATTTTGTGGATTTAAATGATTTATGGATTGTGTTAAACTAAAAAATGGCTTCAGAAGGATTCCTTCAAGCGTCAACAAACAATTTACCATGTGTACATACAGGGTGATTCAAAATTCGCGTCATTCCTCTGGAGGTGTTGTCTGACGCTGTTATAGGAGTACAGAAAAAATTGTAAAATAAATAAATTGTTATTAAAAACTGGGAAATTTGCAAAAAACTAGATCAGAAATACGGCAGCAACGTTTTTCAAGGTAATCTGCCTAATTAACATTGCGCAAATACCTGTGGCTTCGTAATTATTTAAAACTGCGGTAACCATACGCACTGACAATACGATAGACAAGGATAAACGGTAAATTCAACAAGATTTGTTGACGAAATGTCAACCTGTTCTCATAACCTCGAATATCCTCCTCGAACACCAAACATTTGAATGGTTTTGGGAGCTAGTGCCTGTGTAATCTCCTTATTATCCACCCTTATCAAGCAGCTTCTCGTATTCAGTTAATTAACTCGTGCTCTATTCGTATCTCCTTGCGCTGTGTGTATCGTACAAACGTGGTAGGAATGTAGCCGGTATTTATTTGGTGCTTGGGAAAGTGTCAGTTATTGTGCTCTGCGTGCCCCTGGAAGGCCCTGATTCGATTATGTTCAATACTAGTTCCTCTGTGCCTGGAACCCGAATATCGATTGTCGTCCACTGTCTTCCTGGACGCACTCTTTCAGCGTCTGCTATGTTACTGTAGCATTTCCCCTGAACTAGTCGCATATCAGCAAATTCGTGAAAGGAAATTCAAAGTAAGTCACAGTTTGACAAATTATTGTTATGGTTGACAAGGGCTATCCACCTGTAACTATCTGACAAAAAACATCATTGCCGCTGTGCCTTTTCATCAAAAAATTGTAGAAGAGAACTTTTTTATAAGAAAAATTTTCGTAATTTGAAGCAGAGATCGTAATTTTTCTTTTTGAATGCTTAAGCCTTCCAATATGCTACCTATTAAACATGAAACCAGTTCAAAATAATGCTTAATAACAAAATTGAAATTCGATCTTCAACTGTTAATATCTTATAGACATTTTGGAAAAAAAAATTCAATATTTTTTTCGTACTCCAAGGGAGCCTCTATCACCCCTTAAAAGGAATGACGCCAATTTTGAATCACCCTGTATTTATATGGTTACCAAATTTCTAAAAAACGACGAACGCTTTAATTCAGCCGAATTGAAGGGGTCACAGCAGCAGCGTAAGTAAAAATCCGTAAATTCATTATTAGTTACTCTCTCCTTAATATACTAATCTGTCTGTATTGGTTTAAATTAGGTCAATAATATATAGAATTTCACTTATTCAACTTAACCTAACTTATACACATGGCTGCTGTAAAAGTAAAATAAACTCTTAAATTTGTATTTTGGGCATCACGAGAACAATATGGTCACAGTGCTATCGATGTGGAATTAAAACGCGAGGGTTCTTTGTGCACTGTACAAGGTAGAATTTGCCTAGAACAATCGAAGTACGATCGAACAGTACGATCCAAGGCATATTCTCTCTGCCTCATCATTAGTTTTTCGTTCGTACTTTCATTAAAATGATTTTCGCAACAAAAAAATATTGATTTTGATTTGGAAACATCACGTCTAGCTGCTTTGAACTATAAATCTTTACGTGCATAATCATGGGGAACGGTTAAAAATAGTTGGTTTGGAGCACGTATTGAGGTATTTTGCATCCTGGCACAAAACACCACTAATTTTGTGATCCATACATGTCACTATTTTCCATTATGCAAGATAATAATAATCAATAAAATAATAATAATCACAATAATTTCAATAATAAAACAACAAAAATAAACACATAGACACTTTGTTGATATGCCTTGCTACGTCACAATCGGGATAGGCAACCGTCGATACGGATTCGCCGTTCTTGGCGGAAAAAATCTGATTTTAATTTAAATTCGCTTGAACATTACTATGGAGACTTTTTTGCAAAAAAAAATATGAGTGTAATGTTTACCATAACTAATTTGTATATATCAACATTAAAAAAAAAGTGAAAACAACCTATTACGAAAAATTTTTAGG